ATATATACATCTCAGTGTTTCCAAATCAATGGATCGAGAACCAATGAATGTAGTTCGTGATTGATTTACTATATTCACAAACCATAATGAAGTCCAAGTTTCCATAAAATTGAAATTTGGAGTTTACTAAATATATAATTAATATTAATTTCAACACGGCTATAACGCGTATAGTACATATGGTATAAAATATTAATAGTGGCACAGAAGTTGTTCATTACAATGAAATGATTGATACAAATAAGAAAAACTTTACTTGATGAGGTCCTTGCCTATAAAGGCTCTTCCTCTCCAATAAAGAATAATAAATTTAAAATTGCCAGGCTTTAATTTAAACTTTAGCTTCTTAAGCGTATTTATAAATCAGGCTATGATTAAAATAAGTTATTGAATAGCGTGATTTGGACTATTATTGCAGACTGTTTAGGTTTTCTGAAGTGTTTTGATTAAAGTATTGTATTATTTAATTTCGTATTATTTTCTTATCGAAATAGTTTTATGTCTTCTGGGTGTTTACTTCGTATCAGAGAATTTTATGTTACTTACTCGATAGAATTCTCAGATTGATGGATTCTTATTGCTAATTCATTCCTTAGTCATATGACACGGTGTCACTATCTTGGTCCAGAGCTGAACTTTGTTCGTGAGTACTGTCTTTTAACTTTGTTCTATGGTCAGTGGGGGTTTTATAATCGTACCCATCATGGCCAGAATCACAATGGGGTAGGAACCTATCCGGACAGACAATCCAAAAAATCTTGAGAGATTTTCGACTGCCCGAATTCGATCCCGGATCCTTCAGAGTAGTAGGCTGATGATTTAATTCAACCATATCAGCCAAGACAACTTCCTCATTAAAGATGCATGATGAGGAGCTTTAGTGATACACACAACAGAAAAGAAACTCGATAACTTGCTTCAGATGTAGAAACAAAGGACATATTAGTGGAAACTGCGTATTTCTACAGGATCAGTCTGAATTGAAATGGAAGGATAGAAAGGAAATGAACTGTAGAAATTTTGTAAAGTTTTGAACTATGAACTAGAAATGTTCTTTCATGTCAGTGATGCCCGAAGTTCTCGATTGGCGCCAAATTGCTCATAAGTTGTAGGTAGGCAGGTACAAATATTTTGTATATTCAATATAAACTGTATAAAAAGTAAATTTATTTCTATAATTTATAAATGATGTGTCAAATAGATTCTTTGACCGGATTAACGTGTGCTCCAGGCCAGATTGGGCTGGAGGGCTATAGTTTGGGCTAAAATAAATTTTGCTCAATGTAAAACAAATGGACTGTTTACGGCATTTACCAGTACAAACCAATTTACCTTTAAAAATCTCTGAATTTCTAATGAGGAGGAGACTTTGTATCTACATATAACATATAGTGAAATAGGAGTTGCTGAAAGATTATTGATCCATAACTTTAAGCGCATAGACGGAAACAAAAGAAGCTGAATTTCAACTAAATAAGTGTCTTGAACCTTGCATTTATTATATATGAACCAACCAGTAAAACTGGTGTTCACCTATGGATAGAACCCTGAAAATTGATAGTCGGTCGCTAGTTTGCGTCTAACCAACTGATTGACCACGTGAAGTTTTCCGGATTTTTACGCGTCTAATACCTAAAAAGGGGGTCAATTTTCCATAAAAACATCTCCCGGAAAGGACCACACCTTTTGGCAGATCGTCAGTGTGTTGCGTTGCATTAATCTATCGATTGATACATCCCTCCATTCTCGCAAAACTCAATGTTATATTTCATCGATTTGCCTTATTTACTTACAAGTTTTTTTAATGTTGATGGATTCTATACGATAAATATTTCGATGGCCAAGCGTTTATACACACTAACAGCCAAATGCTTAACTCCCTATGAAGTCACTGACAACTCTTCTCAAGAGATTGTGGTCAGCCATCGAAGATTGGTGTAATTACTTTCCATAAAAAAATCTTTCGTTTCCGCGGTAGACAGGTTTCCGGCGTATAATAGTATTTTAACAGTAGCAAATCGTTTCGTTCCTAGATTTATTTTTCAGATGGAGATTCCGTTTTGTACAGGGTCCGTTTTAGATAGGCAATATAATTGTTGTCAATTACCCCTCTAAAACTATGTGATTCGAAGTTTCGGCAATTGCATTGTTTACTCCTTGGGTGATGCTCGAAGCATATTTTATCACAAGCTTTCATGCGTAGTAAAATAAATTAAATGTGTTAATTGAATTAAATCGGTTGAAGAAAAAATAAATTAAATTTTATCTATTAATTAAATTATTCGAAACGGAAAATTAACATTATTAGTGATTATTTATAGATGCTTTATGTGGAATATTCCATTCATTACCAGTGGCAATTTCTGTCATTTTTAAAAGTGATAATTGCATATAAATTTCAATAATAAAAATAAAAATAAAGGGTGCTTATTGTATCTGTCGTTCTCTACTCTACAGGTGTCATGCCATACACACTACACAAAAGCCTGGGAATATTACAGTTGAATAGAAACACATACATCACACTACAGAAAGCCCCTATATTGAATGCGTGTCATGTTGTTAGAAATTCATGAATACTGACACACACACTGACAAACTTATTTAATTTTTGTCTTGTTTTGGTTGCTATGACTCTGGTCTGGAAAAGTACAGTACATAGCAACCGGTGTCAACCGAGTATAATCCACTACACCCAAGATAATAAAATAACTTTGGTAAAAGAATTTTGAAATAGTTATCGTGAATTTGTACAGCAATGTGAATACCATTCTATAAGGTAATGCCGATAGAAAGCCGTCCAAGTGGATTGGATGTTATGGAAAACTGTCACTATTTATCTGTTAAACACCTGATTTAAACTTGGAAAATTCCATGTGACCAGCCTGTCAGGCAATGTTCAGTTGAAAAATGTTCTGCTTTCTTTCTTTGCTTAGATATATTATTTATACACCATAATATAATTTAATTCATATTATTTATTAATTAACAATTAAATTATTCATTTAATTTACGAATAAACTGATGAAAGAAATTCAAAGATGGCAACAATGATTAGAGTGAATCAACGAAATCAAATGTGGCACCATCTGTTGAATGAATATATAATANAATTGTAATCGTTTGTACCTAAAGTATTGGCACTCAATCGACTTTGGCGCTAAACCGAGGTCCCACATACTAGGAACTTGAAAGTCGCGTGATTTGGTGATGATATTTTCAACAAAATCGTAATTTTAGTAATAAAAGGGAAGATTTATTTACGATTATTTATTGGTGCTTTATGAGGGTAGTACTATATCGAAGTTGGAATATATTTCATTAATTATAAGCTATCTAATGGGGTATTAAACTACCTGATAAATCTAAAAGAGTGGAATTTATTTTAATTAAATTAATTTTTAATTCTCTTTTTAATTTTTCTTCTGAAGTTTATGAATGTGTAAATTATAAAAATGGCTTCCCATTTATGACCATGTGGTGGTATAATTCGAAATGAATCTTTCTAAGAAGTTTTATAATTTAAAATTTTTCGTGGAATATCTATTCTTAATGTAGATAAAGCCAATTTATTACTTAAGAGTTCTAAATTGGATATTTTGTCATATTTTATTGCCATTTTCCTGAATATTGATGAAATGTGGTATTTTATTCCCCATTCGGGTCAGGCCTTTCCATAATGAGCGAAATTAATGAAATAGCCTGAATAAATTAATCACAAATCATTAAGAATTTTCTTTGAAACTGGATCCAGAACGAATAAAAATATTAAGACGTTATATTCAGTAAATATTTATCTTAAATCGTTTCTAAATCAAACACCATAAGGTCAAGAATCGAATAATGACATAAGATTTTGTGCTTCAGCCAAGTCAAACTTATGCTAAGAGCACAAAAGTTAGAAATGATTTTGACAATTCACTTAAGAGAAAGGTTTAAGAATTGTTGCAGTTAAACATGGCAGCAATTACTTGTTTTGATATGTCGTGTAATTATGGGATTCGGTAGTGGGATGTAATATGGGATGTAATATCAATAAATACGTAAGATTTCTTAGTGATTGTTTTTCATGGCCTACAACTCTCAGTGACGAGTCACGCTGATTTCAAGCTTGTTGATCAATTTGAAAATTCTTCAATGAGAGCAGAAGTTAGTTCATGAGAATTGTAGAAGAGATCAACGAATTACAGTCAGTTTTCTATACCATCTCATATATATTTTGTTGAATTCAAGTCTTGGAGATTGATTATAAATAGTGTTTCAGATTTTTCATAGTTTTTTTTCTGTCCATAACAGTAGTAGGTTGGTTAAAACGAGTGAATACTGGCGGGTTCACACTTGACCAATGGGTGAAAGCATGGAGTTTTCCGGGTTTTCTTCCCATGTCTAATACTTAAATAGGAGCCAGTTTCCTGGGAGGCACCACCTTTGGCAGAATTTGTGTTGAGTTGCCTTATTTATCGATCAAATTCTATCCACAGACAATGCACCTTTTTCTTCAATGTATATAACATGTCGCATGATCTGATGAAAAAATATATATTGCAAAAATAAAAGATTTCATTATTGTTTAAAATTACTTATTTTTAAGTAAAAAAATACTGAAATTTTAGCAATATCTCGAGTGTTTTCCGATGAGATTGTGTTAGTTCGTTGCCATTCCAATAAATCTTTTTAAATTTTTAAACTTATTTATTAAAAAAAATATATATATATATGTGTACATGTAGTCTAAATTAATTTAATTTTCAAAATTCTTTGTGAAAAATATAAAATTATTGATCGTCGAAAAATTAAAATAAAATGACAAATGTTAGTTGTTTTGAATATTTGATGATTTTTTTCTTTTAACTAAATACTTAATGTTAATTATAGACTTAAAAATATGTTATACAAAGTATGTAAGTATGTATTTTTTCTTCGAAAGATTTAATTACATTATATTCTTAATTAAAAACGACACAAGCCGAGTGGATAAAACCACTGAATACTGGCAGTNTTCACTTTCTAGACAGCTGAGGCGTTGTTTGAGTGACAGCATCTTTACGCATTACGATCGCCGTGACGTCTTCAGTTTCTACTTCTTTATTTTCGGGAGTCGGAGGCCTGTAAGCGCTGCTTTCCACCTTCTTCATGAAATCGCGAAGTTCCGTGTGACTCTGAAAGACATTTAAAACAATTTTAGGAAAGGTAAAATCGATCGCGTCACGAAAAAATATGTCAAGAAAGGAACACCCATATACCACTTTAGAAAATGATGCCGAGCGATTCGGAAGAACGTCTCTGATTGGTGGTTTCCTAGTGAATTCTTTAGGAAGTGACGAACTGTATTGTTCCTTACACGTCTGAATTTCCGATCTAGCGAGATTTTCTTCAGACTTGCATCTTTCTATCTCTTCGGATTCGGAATCTTGGTCCTCTTCGAATGGTAAATCCAGGTCACAGGAATCGAACGTCATTTCGTTTTTGAAGTTCATTTCGGAGGCGAAAATGTCTTCCTCGCTTAACTTCGCTTGAATGGATACGTCGCGATTGTCACTAACTTTAAAATCTTCACGAACGTAGTCATTTGAAGAATCTTCATAGTTGTCGAAAGAATATATGCTGGATTGTTTGAAGAGTTTCTTAAAGTCTTCGTTAGTAAGAGAAGTTAACCATCGTCCGTCGCAAACGTCCGTCCATTGAGTTTGAATTTCTACATCGCGCGTTAGAGGAGTGGAAAGTTGACGCCTGTACGTCCTCTGGGTGTTTGCTATACAAGAGGGACAAGAGGTGGCAACCTCCATCGACTTGGGCCTCACACGTTTCAAAAGTGGACATTCGGGGGCGTATTTACATTTTCGGTAAGGAAGGGTTGATTCCATTAAATCTTCGCTTTCCGGAAGAGTACTGTCGACCAGACGTGCGAAGTCTTCCGCCCACGTAACCAACAGATGAAAATCGCCACTGGGTGGTCGCGGGATGATCCACACATGTTCCTCTTCTTGAAAACGCTGCAAGTCGTTGAAGGCTCTACAGATCTCGTCCTAAAATAATCATTTATTAGTAATTTAAGTTATTAAAATTTTATTATATGTATAAATTTCAATATTTTTCTTACGTGAATTCAAATTTTTACGGCGGATAAAAAAAAACCAAGGGTAATTGTTTCAAAACCGATACATCATTTAAGAGGATAAAGCGGAATGTTAATTTTCGACGTCACTTCTTTTAAAAACGGTTCATAATTTCTGACATCACTACTATTGAATATAACGGAAACGACGTCAGAAATTAAATTGTTTAATTAATTCCTTCATTACTGTTTAAGACTCAAATTTTCTCAGACAATCTTCTAGTTATAATTCAATTATATACTTCTCTAATATTATAATGGAATTATCTGATTAAAAACAAATTTATTAAACTAATCTATAGAAAATGCAATAATTCATAATAAAGTTTCGTAAAATGCAAATCTCATTTGATCTATTCTCTCGTCAATTATGTTTAATTTAAATCAATTCTCTACCTTTGTGACATTATAATATGATTTATTACCAATAAAGAGCGTGAAAGATCATCGCGTGACCTTTAACATTTGACGAATAACACGTAATGTATTTTTGTGTCATCGTGTCAAGAATTCAAAATTTCAGTATCAGAGTTTCGTCCACTCAAAAGTTATACAAATTCTGACTAATACAGGCCTTACATTAGTCATTGTTTTTATTAGTCAAATTTGACTAATGGACACCGATTGACTTTTGGATGTTACTTTGAAAGTGTATATTTAGTTTTAATCATTTATAACTAAAAAAAACGGAATTTCTATTATTATATAAACACTACTTTCAAGTCGTAGTGGTTATTGATTGTCAAAACAACTCAAAACCGGAAACGGAAGTTCAGTTTTTCTAACACATCGAAGACAATATACCACAGTTTTAAATTTTCAAAGATGCATCCAATCAGAATAGATTTTTTTTTTTTCAAATTTGAAATCGAATAACCAATAAAATATAAAAAATATATATATATATATGTATATTATTAATTATTAAATACTTCTCAAAATTAAGCAAGTTATTTTATTCTAAATCATATTATCGCTAAAACTTTAAAAAAATAGAAAATTTACACATTGCACGCCAAGTAGGGACGTTGCAGTGATGTTTCGTCTTTTAAAGATAATTTTACTAAATAAAAAGATTACAAAATACGAAAAACTAATTAAAAGAAAATATTCTTACTTTTAAACAAAATAATTATAAAATAACATCATTTTTTAAGCGATTTATAACCATTTTTATCCATCCTTAACGTAATTTAATTTTGCCTAAAGAACTCAATTAATCGATAAAATTAATCTCCTTTTCCCCCCTGTATCATTGCAATAAAATACCTGATCACTCGACCATTTACCTTATAAATCCAGACTTTCTAACTTTGCAAGTAATGATGGGGTAAAAAAAAAACAGTATTAAGTAGAAAGTAGTAATATATATTACTCCCTTAAGAAAAGGATTAAGTTATAGAAAACTATCCGCTGCAAAGTGCAATCTATTGTAATTTATCCTCATCGAAAAGCAATTTTCTATGAGTAACATGTTACCGAATATTTTAAATCAAACTATTTTTATGAGAATTAGCATAAATTGTGTATTTATCAGTGATAAATATGGAAATTATGCTAATATCTGTGTAATTTCTCACGGCTCTTTAAACTGAATAATTTAAAAAATGAAAATATGTAAGATTTTTTTAAAATATAAATTTAATATAAAGTGTATAAATCACAGTCAAAACTTCGATTTTATTCCACCATTTTGAGGCGGAATAAAATCGAAGTTTGAATGTAATTTACTTCTGAAATTGTAATCGTTTGTACCTAAAGTATTGGCACTCAATCGACTTTGGCGCTAAACCGAGGTCCCACATACTAGGAACTTGAAAGTCGCGTGATTTGGTGATGATATTTTCAACAAAATCGTAATTTTAGTAATAAAAGGGAAGATTTATTTACGATTATTTATTGGTGCTTTATGAGGGTAGTACTATATCGAAGTTGGAATATATTTCATTAATTATAAGCTATCTAATGGGGTATTAAACTACCTGATAAATCTAAAAGAGTGGAATTTATTTTAATTAAATTAATTTTTAATTCTCTTTTTAATTTTTCTTCTGAAGTTTATGAATGTGTAAATTATACGTCATGTTTTCTAGTTTATATAATATTATTAATTAATGTTACAAATAATCTTTTTATTAGTAAGTGAAAGCCAAATCGATTGATATTAATTAATTATATAATTGAATTTATTTGTAGAATTCTAATTATCATGTATATAAACTCAATGATGAGGCATTTCTCATTGTACATAATGTAGCGTAATTGAAGGCATTCGTGCATTTTGTCTCGTTATAGCGTAAGTATTCAGTTTTGTACTGTTTTTAAGTGAACTTCAATTACTTATAATCACTATAATCTCTATCATTTAGTAATTTTAATAATGAAAATTAAAAAAAAAATGATTAAATTTAATTTAAATGATAGTAAAAGCTTCTCATTTAACGTCATATTTTATGCATTTAAAATGGTATTTCTCTATTAATTTTTGCTGCTTATATAATTAAAAGCTTAAGGATAAATTTGAATTTTTTTCTAGTGTTATCTGTCTGCCTGTCTGTCCTTCATTAATCTCGAAAATGGGGTTAGATAGACGAAAATCTAGGCAAGGTTATAGTCCATTAACTATATACGTACAGTACAAACTTCTGTTCTGAACTGGAAGTTATGTGGTATTTTAAATTAAATTTAGACTAAGAAATAAGGGCATGCCTTCCTTTACAGAAAACAACTTGTCATCCATTCATAATTTTTTATCTAGTAAGCCTAAATTAGCTTAATTTAGAATACTTAGTCATAGAGAAATGATAGCAGGGACCTGTAAAAAAAAAAACAAAACAAGAAAAGATATAAATTAAATTATGTTCTATATTGATTTAATTTATATATTTTTATGACTTTTGGAAAGAAGTGAGCCTTCACATTTATGAGTAACAAAGGATATACAATGTTAGAACATGAGAGAGGTCAGTCAGAGATTGCTTTTCTCAGATCCTGACAATATATTCCTTATAAAGTAATGAAAATACTGATAAGATATTCCTTTTAAAAGCTAAATTTTCTATAAAATATAATCTAATGAAACCTCCGGACAACGAACAATGATAAAAACGTAAAAAGAATGACCACTATTTTACGCATTTCAAAAAAGAAACGTTCCTGAAAAAAATTTGTCGCTGTTAAGAGGTGATCGTTATTGTAGGTTCAACTGTAATATATATATATTTTTCATATATCATAGCAATTTTTCATCACAATGCTCTCAATTTTAGTAGTGTCTTGCCCCCTGTATATCATACTTTTCCTGTTAACAATAGAGTAATGCCTGTCGTCTATCTAACTCCTTTCAAGAGAAAAATGTCTGAATTGAAATAACGTGACTTTCTATCCAAATTATAAATTCGAATATACTTAATCGGGAGATTTGGCCCGAGCTTTCCGTATCTAGTCTCGATTTTCATCTATCTTTCTCCATTTTTCAGATTAACTAAGGACAGACAGACAGACAGACTGATAGTGATAATGTATAGGTCTGCCAATTGAAAATTACAGCCCAATAACAAGCCCGATTTATCATCTTAAATTTATAAATTAATTAAGATAATATTTATCAAATTGCATTAATATAAAGATATATTTATATTTAAAAAATATCAATAATTTTATTACATTTCTATAGAATAAAATTAAGATAAATTTAATAACTATGATTTAAAAATAAATAAATTTAATTGTTTTTTTTTATTTAACGAAGTTGGAATATATTTCATTAATTATAAGCTATCTAATGGGGTATTAAACTACCTGATAAATCTAAAAGAATGGAATTTATTTTAATTAAATTAAGTTTTAATTCTCTTTTTAATTTTTCTTCTGAAGTTTATGAATGTGTAAATTATACGTCATGTTTTCTAGTTTATATAATATTATTAATTAATGTTACAAATAATCTTTTTATTAGTAAGTGAAAGCCAAATCGATTGATATTAATTAATTATATAATTGAATTTATTTGTAGAATTCTAATTATCATGTATGTAAACTCAATGATGAGGCATTTCTCATTGTACGTAATGTAGCGTAATTGAAGGCATTCGTGCATTTTGTCTCGTTATAGCGTAAATATTCAGTTTTGTACTGTTTTTAAGTGAACTTCAATTACTTATAATCACTATAATCTCTATCATTTAGTAATTTTAATAATGAAAATTAAAAAAAAAATGATTAAATTTAATTTAAATGATAGTAAAAGCTTCTCATTTAACGTCATATTTTATGCATTTAAAATGGTATTTCTCTATTAATTTTTGCTGCTTATATGATTAAAAGCTTAAGGATAAATTTGAATTTTTTTCTAGTGTTATCTGTCTGCCTGTCTGTCCTTCATTAATCTCGAAAATGGGGTTAGATANATAACACTGTTGATTATTCCATTTTATATGAATTCCATGTTGTACGAGTCACTTATATTTTACAAATACGTGTGCTGGGCTGTGAACGGCTCACGTATTTGTAAAATCTAAGTGACTCGTACAACATGGAATTCATATAAAATGGAATAATCAACAGTGTTATGGGGGGGTCGACTGTAGTTTGTATTTGAATGTTACTGTCGTGTTTATTGACAACCGAATGATCGAGACGGTTAAGGCTTGTGTTTACTGCTTGCTCTGTGGAATCCGGGATCAAATCCGGACGAGCAGTTACTCAGGGATTTTTCATTTCGAATATCCCTCACCACTCGGTGGGCCTGGCGGAACACACTGTGTAGAAGAAAGTAAAAATAACAGATAAACTAGATCCTATATGGTTTAAGAATTTTATCCTGGATATATTGGGACTTATCCCTCATCACCCGGCTGCTCCTTTTTTTGGGCTGGCCGAATCTATGATGAATATGATTAAAAAAAGGCTCTCAGTGCTCTCAAATAAGGAGCCAAAATAAAAATGTTTCCTAAATTCATGCTTGTTAGTCAGGAAGAATTCACTCTAATGGTTCCCTATTTGAAAATCCTCTCGTGTCTTCAGGCAAGAGATAAAATCTTTACTAATTTTATACATGGTGAGATATTGAGGATGTAAATTAATTCACATTCTATATAATTATGAAAAAATTCTTTACAATTTTGGAAGTTTCTATCGGTTAATAATGGTATCATTGCAGAATTTAGCATGATCCTGTACTCTTTACGTAGCATATCTTAATATAATTCTGTTGTAATAATATTTTTAAACATGATTTATTAAAGACAAAACGTAAATATTCTATTAAATTCGAATTATTATCGTAACGAAAATGTTGAAATTTAGAATTATTTTGAATTAAAATGACATTCAGAGATAATGTAATGACATCAATAATCGATGAATTCGCATTGGAGACAAGGAATGAATTAAGAAATGAAGTTTAAAGGAACAATGAATTAAACAATATATTCCCAATAGAATGCAATTTAAATCGATCAGCTGAATCAGAACTAAATTCTAAATGCGAAATTCAAATATGCAATTTTGCAAGATCAGAATTTTATATGAAACTCAAATTCTAACAAACTCTATAAAAATTCTATTGTCTCATGGGATTCGATCTCACTCCATTCTTTTGATGATTACGTTTTAAATTTCCTCTTCATATGCTTAAGAAATTATTCTTGTAAGCATTAAATATTTAGAAAAATCCGAAAAAAATTAATAAAAACGTATTTTAAAAATTAAACATTTAAATTTTTTTACACTTTGGGAATTTCAAAAAATTTTTAATAAAAGAAACGAAGGTAATCACATTTATTAAAACATATTATAGTCTACGAAGGAATCTATTATGAACTTTTAAATATTTTTATGTGCA